ATATAATTTATATATTAAATATATAACTATATGTAGATAATTGTTTGCGGCAGCCCTAATTACCTCTACTGCGCATGTTAGTCAAGGACAGAAAGGCAGACGTGGCAGGATAGTATTTATTTTGTAATAAGCTGGAATGAAAACAAGCAAAACTTTCTACTTCTTGTCTTTTTAAAAATGTAATTAGTAGAAGTAAAAAGTGCTGAAAAATAATTACTCAAGTAAAGTACAGATACCCAAAAAATCTACTCAAGTACAGTATCAAAGAATTTGTACTCAGTTACTTTACTACTCTGAATACCGATAACCAAAGTTTCTACTAAAGTACTGTAATGAAGTATTTGTATTTTGTTATTTTACAACTATTGATAATTTTAGCTTCCTCGAGCTTCTTATTTGCTAACATTAGCTTTCAGCTATCTTTCCGTTCTTTTTAACTCATCTAAATTGATGTTTTTGTGGCAATTTAAGCTTTTTTAAAGCTATTTTCAGCTAAATTCACCTTTTTGTGATAATTTAAGCTAGTTCTTCCAAAAGCTTGATTCAAACAAATGTAATCTTTCAGCTTTTTTTGTTTATTTTACAACAAATTACAAAGTTTTTGTCAATCTTTTTTTAGCAATCATTCACGCTGCTTTATTGCAGAAAATTCAAATTCAGATACCCAGAAAAATTCTACTTAAGTACAGTAAAGTATTTGTACTTAGTTACTTTACAACTCTGGTTGTAATAAATGAAAGTTTTAAGTGCGGACGAAGGGAACGTAAACATTCTGACAGGTTTTCGGGGTCCGTCCCTGTGCTCAGGTGGTGGTGGGGGTGAACGTCCTGGACGTCAACGATAACGACCCGGTCATCCTCAACCTGCCGTACAACACCAGCGTGAGCGAGACCGCCGCCGTGCACACCTCTGTGGCCCAGGTGCGCGCGAGCGACGCCGACAGCGGACGCAACGCGCTGCTCACCTTCAACATCACTGCCGGGAACCTGGACGGAGCTTTTTACATCATCGACACGGTGAGACGAGCGGGGGGGCCGCTCCTCCCACCTCCCTGTTCAATGTTATAGTTTTCCTACTTTTATCAGGACTCCTCGTTCTGATCAGAAGATGAAAAGAGCTTATTCACCCTGTAACTTTCATACATCCTGTGGACACGCAGCCTTTAGAGGAGGATGAAACTTCCTGTTTCAGGTTTGCTGTAATCAAATCTGAGGAGAACCAACCAGTTCCATCTGTAATCAGTAACTGCAGATCAGCCTCGCATCTTCCTCTTTTCAGCTCTTTGTTTGAAAAACTCTGCCTGCAACGTCACATTCTTTTGTTTCCCTTGATTCTCATAAGAAAACTGAATTTCTCACCATTCAAACAAGAACTAACAAAGCTTCATTTCCTACAAAAGTGGAGAGTTAAAAAGCTACAAAGCTCAAGTGGAAAGTAAAGCCAGAGTTTCAAAAAGAACCTTGTTTTTTTTTTATTAATTAAATACACTCACCGGCCACTTTATTAGG